ACCTTCTATTAGCTACACCACTGTTGTGCTTAGCAACCAAGGTCTGCCATCTCAAAGCTTGCTTTCATCTCAATCTGGCTCACATTCTCTGCACTTTCCGAATTCCCTGAAAGGCAATCATACTTATAAGGCCTTCTTATTTCATCTTCCCCAATAAAAACTGAGGCAAAGAAGGTGCTAAGCACTGCTGTCTTCTCCTCATCCTTAGTTACTAAATTCACTCCCTCATCTAATAGTGAATGGAAGTTGTCTTTGCTCTCCTTTTGCTATTAATGTATTTATAAAAATATTTTTATTGTCCTTTACAGAAGTGGCCAGATTGAATTCTAACTGGACTTTTGCCTCTCTAAATTTTTTTTCTTACATGACCTAGCAACTCCCTTAAGCATTTCCAGAGATATCTGACCCTTCTTCCAAGGGTGATACACCCTCTTTTTTTTCAGAAAAGGAGAAGTTCCTTCAAAAGCTCCTTGTCTATCCGGGCCAGTTGTTTTCCTCATTGGCTCATGTTTTGGCACATAGGGACAGCCTGCTCCTGTGCCTTCAAGATTTCTGTTTTGAAGCATGCCCATCCTTCCTGGACTCCTTTGTTTTTAAGGGCTGCTTCCAAGGTACTCTCTGAATAAGTCTCTTGAATAGGCCAAAATCTGCCCTCCAGAAGTCCAGCATGGAAGTTTTATTGATGCCCCTCCTTGTTTCACCAAGTACTGAAAACTCTATCATTTCATTATCACTGTGCTCCAGATGGCCTCCATATCTCACCAGCTCTTCTCTGCTTGCAAAGAGCAGGTCTAGCACTGTCCCTCCCCTGGTGGGCCCACTCACCAGCTGCAACAAGAAGTTGCCCTCCATACACTCTAAGCACCTCCTAGACTACCTCTTCTCCTCTGTGTTGAGTTCCCAGCAGGTATTTGGCAGGTTAAAATCACCTACAAGAACAAGGGCTGCTGATGCTGAAACATCCTTCAGCTGCTTGTAGAATAACTTCATCTTGGTTGGGTGATCTATAACAGAGTCCCGCCAGGATGTCAGCCTTGTTGACCATCCCTCAATTCTGTGTCCTGGCCCCAGCTTGCCTTCTGGCTTTCATTTGCTTGCTGGCTCTCGCTCACCCCTCATGTCTGTTCTGCCTCCCTGTGTCCCTACCTAAGCCACCTGCATCCAACCCTGCTGGCCTCTGAGCTGTTGATTTCTCTTAAGGTTCTTAGGTCAGGATGACCCCATGAGAGATCATAAAGAGTCTTTGCTTCCCTAGCCCAAACGCAGCCAAAAAAGGAGCCTGGAATACTTCAGATTGTGCTTTCAAGGTTGTTTATTTCTTCTTATCTAAACATACTTTCTCTGACCTGCCTCTGAGCTTTGGCTAGCAAGGAGGCCATAACATTTCTCTCTCCAGCCTCGGACAGCTCCCACATTATATACTCAAAACTATGTGTCTATGTTTACAATTTCTTCACTAATTCCTATAATCTATGTTAGACAGTGAATCTCTACCTTAAACCAACAGAAAAGTGCCACCATCACACCAAGACATGGAGGACAAGACAAAGAAGAAGAAGGCTAGGACACACCCAAATTCCTCCATCTTGTACCCCCTTGAACCCCATTCTAGAAATCCCAAAATTCTACTTTTCCACCCTGTGTTAGTTCAAATATCACACTGCTAAAACCCTTGTGACTTGTAATTCCTCATACAGAGCTGGCAGTTTTCCACGGGCTAAAATCAAAGTTGCAGCTGTTTTTGACTTCATGCCAGGGTTTCTGAGACCTCTGCCAGGGTCTCGAGACAGCCAGAGCAGCCAGAGGGATGTTCTGGACTCTGACACTGAGCCACTGCTGTGATCATCACTATGACACTATCCAGGCTTCTGGGCCTCCTGCCCGAGTGCCCCCCTCACCTCATGTCCAGTTGTCCATCAAGCAGTGTGCGCATCCACCACCTTGTGGACACACTCCCAACCTCCAGTGGCATCTTTCTCTCTCTCTCTCTCACTCTGTCTCTTACCTCCCAGTCCCACCCTATTCCTTTCCCATTTTTCTTCCTCTTGCTCTATCTTCTCTAGCCCTCTTTAGTAGAGTAACTTTTTGTTTTTCATTAGGAATAAATGGTTCTTAGATACAGTGTTTGTCTCCTTTGACTTAATTTTGTTCCTAACTAATTTAAAAATAACTCCTTCCAGTTAGGCACAGTGGAACATGACACTGATATTGCAGGTAACTGCTAGACTGCCATTGAAAGGGGCAGTCCTGGACTATGAGCAGCCTAATATAACAGAAGTGTCCTGTGATTAAGGTGCTTGAATTTCAACCCTGTACTTTGAAAGTGTTCTCTATGTATTTCTTCCTGTTTAATTAAACCAAGGCTTGACAGGATGCTCTTCCCCTGGAGATAGCCAATATTCAATTCTGACTTACTGCAGGTAAACTGAACAAAACATTCTGGCCAAGTACCTGATGGAGCTGTTCATTGTGAATTATGACATGGTTCACATGCTTCCATCCATGAGTGCAGCAGCTGCCTTCTGTTTGTCTCCAAAATTCTTCAATGGATGCATGTTCATAAGTTGTGCTTGTCAGGCCACCTCCTGTTTGTGACACAGTGTGCCTGTGCAGCAGCTTAAAAGGCCACTCTTACAAGGTGCACACTTCCTCCATTCCTCATGGTATTTCACCGTGTTCTTGTCTCCCTTTGGACCAATAAAAGCCAGCAGCAGTAGAGTAGTACTTTTAAAACCTCCCACTGTGAGACAAGAGACCATAATTGTCCAAGCAAAACTGAAGACAAAGACCCCAGCGTAACTGGATTATTCTAATAGGCTTATATAATGGATTCCCTTCTTTTCAGTTGCCACTTCTGCAATCCTACACATCTTACACTGAGAGTGACATTCTCTCAGCTATATGGCATATGTCAAAGAATGTAATAAATGTGAATAAGTGTGCTGCCAAGCAAAAGGTAAGAATCTTAGGGTGCAGTGGTGTAGGGGGAATATGCATGGTTATATGTTAATACATGGCACATAGAGATTGGTTCAATTGAGTCACTGCAGACAGACTTAAATAAGAAGATCTGCTCACTTCTGAGATGAAGATCTTTATCTTTCTTAGATGATATGGACCACTCATAAACAGGGTTTGAGTATTCGGATGGGCCTGGCTTGATCACCAAGCATTAAGTGAGCTGAAATAGTGTTAGTGGACAGAGTAAACTTAATCAGCCTTATTTCTCTGCAGGCAGTTACGAAGAAATGTGCCACTGATTGATTTTTGCTGTTAACACTTCCTTCACATATATTCATAGCTCTGTAGATTATTGTTGTACATAGTTCCTCACAAGTACTTCCCCTCACCTTTTCCGTACCCTGACAGGAAGAAATATAAAATACATTTCAGAGTCTCTAAACGCTGAGGGTCCAAGGCCCCTGTCCTATTGTAGTTCTTCCTGGGAGCCAAGGTTGAAACTAGCTCTTTGAGACACATTTTCAGAAACAAAGTTTAGCTCCTATCTAAGAGCAGAGGCTGGGAGAGGATTAAAGATGGTTAAACAGGCAGGAATTACTTCATCACTTGTACATCTAATTGAGAATTCTTGTCAGTTATGTTAATTTGCTAAACTTATAAAACTGTATTCATCCCGTGGCAGGAGGAGGGGGGGCATTTTTCCATATCTTTCCCTGGAGGCCTGCAATAAAGACTAGCCTTTATATTATCTCCTATACTAATATTGGCTCAAAAGTGTGTTGTTTCACTTCTAGGTCTTTAAGACCTACCGCCAACACCGAGGTAAGCACCACTGAACAGTTGTACTCTCCCATTTTATGGGTTCTGGCTAAAACTTTTAAACTTCTATATCAATTTAAGCAGCATGCTGCTCACTGTTTATACAAAGTACCTTATTTGTATTAAACTTAAAGCTTTCACAATTTTTTGTTTGGTTGGGGTTTGTTGGTGGGGAGAGTAGTATAGTTAACTTCCTCCTACAGCTGAGGCATCTCCCTGGAGGCTGTGAGCAGTGCTGGGAGCTTGGGTGAGCTCTGGGGACAGCTCAGGTGCCTGTGCGGATGCAGGTGGTGTGTGCACAGCAGCCTTGGCATGAGCTCTGCGAGTTTGGTGCTGGTGTCTGCCAGGTCAGACTTGGGGGCAGCAGAGAAAACAGCTGTGTGAGGTGGATGATCTGCTCAGCCTGGTGGCAGAGCTCACAGAGAAAGGAGAAATTGTTGAGGAGGAGCCGTACTGTACCCTCCCTTAGACAATTACAGAGGCTGTCCAAGGCAGTCAGACATTGGAACAAACTGCCCAGAGTTGTGCAGGACTCAGCATCCCTGGGCACGTTCAGAAGAATGCGTGACTATAACACCTGAGGTCACACCTGGTTTAATGGTGAACAGGATCGTTGGTTTGACAGCTGCCCTTGCTCTTAAACCCAAGTAAGCCTCTGCTTCTACACAGCGGCTCTCTTCACTTAGTGTTTATTTCTTGCAGTCTATTTTTTACTTCCGTTAGTAGCTTGCACCTATTGCTTCTATCTCCGTGCGAACACTAGGTCAGAGGGAAGGATTACTGAGCTTTACCTAGCGCTCTGCCAATGTTATTTTCATTTTTCCCCTTGCACTCACGGGACCAGAGCCGCTGAGGGCTGCGCCGCCCGCCCGCCGCTGCAGTGCGCAGGCGCGGGCGCGGGCCGGCGGGAGCCGCGCGGTTTGAAGGTGCGGCCATGGCGGCGCGGGCCGGGAGCTCGGCCCGGGCCCCGGCTCCGGCCTCGGCCCGGGCCTCGACCTCGGCCCGGGCCCCGGCTCCGGCCTCGGCCCCGGCTCCGACCTCGGCCCGGGCCCCGGCTCCGGCCTCGGCCCCGGCTCCGACCTCGGCCCGGGCCCCGGCTCCGGCCTCGGCCCCGGCTCCGGCCTCGGCCCGGGCCCCGGCTCCGGCTCCGGCCTCGGCTCCGGCCTCGGCCCCGGCTCCGACCTCGGCCCCGACCTCGGCCCCGGCTCCGACCTCGGCCCCGGCTCCGACCTCGGCTCCGGCTCCGGCTCCGACCCCGGCCCTGGCTCCGACCCCGGCTGCGACCTCGGCCCCGGCCCCGGGATGGTCCCAGGGCGGCAGCGGCGACGTGGATGTCTGCTGTCTACTGCGGTTAGTGCCGGCGGGACGGGGAGCAGCCCCGGGGTGGGATGAAGGGATGCGCAGCTTCTGACCTTTGTCGCTTTACTCCCGCCGCAGCCTAAGGGACCAAATGAAGGAGCAGCTAATAGAGTACAACTCGGCAATTCTCATCAGTAAGTGTTTATCTCCTCGCATTGGGATGTTTCACTAACAATGAATGGGATGTAGAATATATATATATATAATTTTTAAAAATATAATTTTCCAGTATTTTATTTAATTATTTATCAAAAGTGTTCCTTACAATAATGGGGTTATCCCCCTGGCTGTTCGTTTTAACATGTTTTCTAGGCATCTTTTGAGACGTATTTAAATGTCTACAAAGATGCATAGCTGTTGCCCTTAACTTCCTTTTCTGGATTTGAACTTTAGGCTCCTCTGACATGTAGTGATGGTTTTCAGAAACCTGGTCACTGAGGCTGTAGTCTTGCCAAAAGTTTGCCAAAGTGTTTGGCAGCAATACTGATTTAAGATGTTTCCATTACCTGTGGAGTCACAAGATGATTTGGATTGGAAGGGACATTAAACACATCTGTTTCCAAACCCCTCACCATGCACAGCGACCCCTTCCACTAGACAGTCTTGCCCAGAGCCCTGTCTGACCTGACAACCTGATCTTGAGCACTCCCAGGGATGAGGCATCCGCAGCTTATCTGGGCAATCTCTCTACCAGTGCCTCATCACCCCACTGTATATCTAATGTAAACCTACCCTCTTTCAAGTACAAACTGTCCCCCCTTGTCCTGTCAGTACATACCGTAGTAAAAGTTCTCCAGCTCTCTTGTAAGGTCCATTCAGGGACTGGAAGGACTCAGCAAGCAACCTTCTCCAAGCTGAACAACCACTCTCACAACCTTTTCCTCATAGGAGAGGTGCTCCAGCCCTCTGATCACCTTCATTGCCCTCCTCTGGACCTTCTCTAACAGATCCATGTCCTTATGTTGGGAGTCCCAGGCCTGGATGCAGCACACCAGGTGGAGTCTGCCAAGAGCCAGTTAGAGGGGCAGAATCACCTCCCTTGACCAGCTGGCCACGTTTCTTATACAGCCAGGATGAAGTCTGGTACATGCTCTTCCACTGAACTATCCAGTAGTATATATAGAGCAATATCATGAACCCAGCTCTACTCATCTGAAAAATGCTAAATTAGTTATTTCTCTGATACAGCTGATTGATAGCATAGTCTCATTTACTGTAAAAGATAATAAAGTTTGGAGATAGAAGTAAGAAATAACTTGTTCACACAAAAAATGCTAATCCATTATGTTCTATAGGTTGTATTTAAAAGTCTGTGGTGCTTGTTTTAACAACGTTCTCTTTTGCAGGTCAAGAAAATTTCCTTGATCAAGGGATTGAAGAAAGCGTTATCCAGAGGTATGTCACTGGAAAACTGCAAAATTCTTTTCTAGTTATTCCTTCTTAGTGAATTGCTGGATTAACAATCAGTACTTCAGAGAAGATTGGTGAAAATAATGGAAATTAAGAGGAAATGTGGGGAAGAAATGCTTTATTCATTCTCCCAATGTACTTCTGTATGTGATGTGGCTTTTAAATTTGCAGTCCTTTATGTGATGGCTAGAATTCACTAATATAGTTCCAGATGCTAAATTACTCCTGGCCCTAATGATTTGTGGCTCACATGAAAAATTCTTACATAAGATAAATGGAAAGCGATTTAAAATGTCACACTGCTTTTAAACTCTGTTATCTTCACACTCAGGCTGTCTGTCTTTTTGTCTTTCAGTGCCACACAACATTTGGAAAACGATATAGAAGAAGTAAAAGTCTCTTTCCAGAACAAGATGTTGGCCTTGCAAAGGTTTTCTTCATCCTTTATTTGGAGCTTTCTTTTCTGTGTGTGCATACATAGATGCATATATACATAGGTCTGATTAAAACAGGATTTTAAAGTGATATGGGAGATTGGGGAGGTTTTAAGTACTATTGAACAATAGGAATGCAGATTGGTATGCTATAGAAAACAAAACAAAAAAAAGCCCACCAAAACTAAAAGCTTACAGGCTGAAATGTGTACATCCAAAAGTTCCTTTACAGTAGGGAAAGAGTGACTGTACAGATCAGTAAGCATATTTCTTAGCAATATTTTCCAAATGATGGAAGTGGATGTTAGACATCCCATGTGTTTCATGGCTTTTGATTTGAATTCACACCTTTGCCCAACTTCCTTTCTGCAGACTCTAGGATTAATGGTGTCCAAATATGTTGGTCAAGAGAAAAAGGAGTTGTCATTCTAAGTATCAATAATCATTGATACTTCTTTCCTGTCCTGAGAGTTAAGCCCCATTATTTAAGAAGTGTGGTATTTAAAAGGTACAGAGTATTTTGTTTATATAATTCCAATGTGAAAGTGGACAAAAGTGGAATCCTGGAAATTATGTTCTTATATTACTTATTTAAATCTGCTTCTCTCAGTTTCCTGCTTCTCTGTTTCTTATGAGTTCTCATCAGTCATATGCTATTTCTTGCAATATGCAGGATACAAATTATGGATGCCCTGAGAAACAAATTGCAACAAGGTGATGAGGACTCACGGTAAGGTGTTCTTGGACCTCAGATGGCTAGAAAGCAATGGACTTTGCACAGTTTATTGTGACACATTTCTAGATTATTTTATTTTACCTCTTATGAAAGAAAGCTTCCTTTTTCTAGATTTGACAGAATTATACACTGTCTACCTTCTGGCTATAATCAGCATGATCAGATTTCGTACACTCATGGTAGATTTGCATTTGGGCTCTGAATTTACCCACATTTGATTACAGAGATCATAGCTCTTGATTCACTAGTGAGAACTGCTTGTAGCCAAGAGAGCTTTTTGTCTTTAGTGCCTGAATTACCAGCATTTATAATAGCTGAGCACACTACAGGCTTGTAACAGGGCCTTGCCTCTGCTTTCCTGTCTTTATTAATGTAGGAGCAAAATGTCTTTGAAATAGAACTGAAATCTTAAACATATTTAAAAGTAGCTTTTCACTGCCTGCCCATTATTAACAGGTGGATGCATATGAAGTGTAATATGAGAAATTTAATTTCTGTCAGAAATACAGCTAAGAGATTGCATCTCCTTGATTTAGGAACTTTAATTCATAGCCATTTCCAGATGTCTAGGCTTTCTTGATGCCTTCCAAACTCTGTGATGTAAAATGTTGAACGGACTTAAATGAAATCTTAGGGAAATCGAGAGGGAAGTGACAGAACTCTTTAGCCTCTACAATGATACTGAGTATATTAACTGTAAAAAGAAGTGATGTTGTAAGTGTAAGCGCAAAAAGAAGTGACATGTAGTATTAATTTGCTATTAGTAAAAATTAGAAATTCTTTATTTAAACTAAATAAAGTTGATTAAAACATTTATGATATTGACTTATATTCATGGTCTTAAGGTATGCAACTGTTTCCTTCCTTAGTCTGATCCTGGAAACAATGAAACACCTAGTATTGCTCAGCCAGACAATAATTGAGTATCAGCAGGTAAGTAGCAGTTTTAGCTTCTGTTACTGTTGTGCAGGTCAACCAACCCCACATGGGCAGGAGTGCGCTTTGAAAGCAACAGGACTGCACAAGTCATTCCAAACTAAACATGTGGGAACACGGGTGCAGTTCCTATTGCTGTCAAAATTAAGGATTATTTAAAGTGATTATGTAAGTAAGTCTGTTTTTGAGTTGCCCTTAGCTGTGGTGTGGATTGAATTAGCATATTTCAATATTTTTGAAGACAAGAGTCTGGAAAATACTTTTTTTTTTTCTTTCAGAAAATACAAGAGAAGGAACAGCAGCTGGTTAACATTAAAAGGGAAAGACTCTGTAAGTGTGTTATCTGTATTGACTTTAGTTTATATTTTAATGAAGAGTTCATATAGTTCATATTTTAAAGTTGTTCTTGTAGCAATATTAATTTACATGGGAAGTAACAAAACTCAACACAGTTATTAAACTTGTTAGAAGAGTAGAAAGTACTGTAGAGATGAGCTGGTATGTTCCCTACTTGAACTTGAGACTGACATGTTAGAATGAGAGATGCAAGAGAACACTCAAAAACATTGTGGCAGCATTTTATTATTTCATGTAAGGTCCTCAGAAAGTTACACATTGTTTGTCATTTAAATCACCCCTATAGCAACTAAAAGATACTTTTTTTGTCATACTGCGCATTTATGAGGTGCTTGCAGAATAGAGAGGGAATTTACTTAAGAAGAAGTGTGTATATATTGGTGTTCAGTAGCCTTGTTGGAATGGTTCAAATTTAGATATGACATCATATTCAGAACTTTAACAATTTTAACAGCTATTGTTTGAGTCGTGTGGGGAGTTGTGTAAATATTGATGGTAACGAAATAACTGTTCACATGGGAAAAATTAACATACTGATATCTTTGCAAATAAAGGAAGGAATCCTCTGCCAGCATTCTTTCAGTGTATGAACTGCCCCTAAGCACTTAATCAGTCTGGTTTTTAACCTGGTTTCCTGTAAAAATAGTAATATTCTCTGGTCATGTCTGCATGCTCCTTGTATGACTTTGGAATTTGGTTTCAGTGAAATCTGAAAAAGGAGTAAGGGTCTTTAAAAGTTATAAAAAAGACCTCCAAAAGTTGTGGCACTCAAAAACAGGGTATGCAGATATGCAAATTAGCCCCTGTGAGGAAAATGCAGGCAGCATACAATGTACTTTCTGTTTTGCTGTTGGCCAGGGAGGCAATTGATGTAGTTTGATCTGTGTACCAAGTAGTCACAGCATGTGTTGCTTCTTTCATAGAAGAAATATATTGAGTTATATTGGAGGGAAGGAGTGGAGCATGAAATAAGGGTTATGCAGTGGAAGTGCTTTAGGTGGCTGTGAGGGAATGAGTATCTTCAGTTCTGCTGTACACCTAACTACTTAATGTTTAATTTTCCTAATAATGTAACAGCACTAAAAGCATATGGTGGACAGAAACTACAGCAAATTCAGATCATGATGAAAAAGCAAAAGGAAAAACAAGCAAGTATGGATTCCAGGAAAACAGAGAAGATGTTTGCTAGCTTAGAAAAAGAAAGACAGATGACTACAATAATTCAAAATGTGTTCCAGGTAATGTTGTGTGGCTTTTAGAATCAATTTTACAATTTTTCATTATACTCAAGATAATATACTGTATGGCAAATATAGCTTAACAACACAAAATTGTTTTCTAAAACCTTTAACAGTGCTAATGGAAGGACCGTGCATAGAAGGAAGATTTCTATTGCTTTAAAGGCTAAGAGAATGAAATTGTCACAAGCATCTTTGCATTAATTTTTGCAGAGTTTAGAGACAGGCTATCAATCTCTCTTTGTTTCCTTAAAGGTACAAAAATAATGTATCTTTCTTGAAGAATGTCTGTCACAGTAATGGGTGTATTTCCTTCTGCTCTGAGTAACCTCTACACCCTACCAAATCAGTTTCCCCCACCTCATGGTTAGAAAAAATAAATAGGTGTTAGTCCTACCTTACCCAGGGAACCTTCATATTCCCCTTCTGGCTTTCTCTGTTTGTGTTACCCCCTAGAGACCTGTGAAAGCCTTGGCCTGCAACCACAGCCAGTCTCCAAATTCTTTCAGCAGTGTAGACTTTGCTCTTCTGGTTATCCATGTGTCCAGGGCTGCTAATTAGTCTGTATACAGGCAGCGATTGACAGGTCACCTGCAATGTGAAATCATGCAAAATCATGGTTTGGGTTAGGGTGGAAGGGTCTCAGGCTGCATAGGAATGTCAAAGACAAAAATATGGCTGCTACTATTTTGCATTGCTAATGTCATTACATCTCAAATTGAGAACAAGAAATTTAGATGATTTCTAAATTTAGAGTCCTGGTTTTGTATTCCTGAAATTTTCTGAGCCCTATGTAGAGTAAATTTTCTTTGGTTAAATTTAAATTTCCCTTTTCAATCCAGAGTGGCAGGGTGAGAATGTTAACTGTGTTGTTTTGTGTTTGTGGCAAACTGTACTTCATATTGTTAAAAACGTTCTCTACATTTCTGTGTTTAGCATATATGTAGTATGAAGGCCCTCTAGGAAATAAAAAAGCATGGATTTGGGATTTTTTTGCCTTTGTATCAACAACAGGATTAATTCCCTTTCTCCTTTTTCCCTTCATCCTGTCTACTTCAAACACTTATGAATTTCAAGGGCTTTCAAATCAAAAATTATAAAGGTGATTTATTTTGAGATATTTTACTAAGAATTGTCCTTTACAAGTGCTTGTTTTAACCTATAAATCTTTCTCATTTATAGAACATCATAGTTGGAAGCAAAGTTAACTGGGCAGAAGATCCATCTTTAAAGGCAATTGTTCTACAGCTTGAAAAAAACGTCTATGTTTAGTGAGTCAGGATACATGGTGTCTATTGTTATACAGTGTGTGCATTTTGACTAAATTTGATAGATTATGTGTATCTCAAAAATACACTTCAAGACTTAAAATTTGACCTTTCTGAAAGATGTTGTTCTCTCCAGAGAGTTAGAATGTGTCAAAGTGGGTAGTAGAGCTGATTAAATATAACTACCTGCAGACTCAGTTCTCAAGCAGACCTGTCTTTGAGCACTTACATTCCTGTGAAAGGCAGCCAGAACACAAGAAAAGTTTCAAGGTTTCATGTGGAAGTGGACTTAAACTGAGGATTTGCTGTACCCCTTTCCTGGGGACCAGCAGGCTGTAGAGCTTAAGCAGGATGCACGACCCTGCTGTGTCCCAGTCAGGAAAATTTATGAGCAAGTCTAAAGTTGGGATTATCTTTATTATTAAGACATTATGTATAATTTTAAACACCAGAAATTCTGTGCTCTTTTTAGCAGTGACTCTTGTCTGTAGAGGTAACTTTATACTGTCAACTGTGCAGCTAAACAGTGTTGTAATTGCAAGTCTTCATTAGCATTTGCGCTTTTTTCAGTGTTGCTTGATGCTTGAAGGAAATAACTCTTGAGGCATAACACACTTAGGGAGTGTGTAATGTCTCTTCTTGTCTTGGCGTGCGACGCCATTTTTAACTTGATGAGTGCTCACTAGCTATTTTTTTTAAGATGAGTGCCTTGATCTAATAAAGAGAATGCTGATTCTCCTGAGAACGCTTCACTGGCTCGGGTTTCTCTGAGGCGCGGCGGAGCGGGGCGCGGCAGGCCGGGCGCCGCGGAGGCCCCGCCCAGGCCGGGGCTGTGGGCGGGGCCGGGGCTGCCCGCAGCTCCGCGCCATGGGCAGCAAGATGGCGGCCGCTGCCCGGGCGGTGCAGGTAAGGGCGGCCCGGGCGGCAGCGTCTTGGGCAGCCGGAGCCTTGGCTGGAGCGGCGGGGCTCGCTGCTGCTGCCGCCGCCGAGCAGCAGGTGTGAGGCGGCCGCGGGCTGAGGGCACGCCGGCGGGGTGGCCGATGTCCTTGGGGAGAGCTGCGCGGAGGCGCGCAGGCGGTGTCGCGGGCGCCGGGCGCTGTGAGAGCGGCGGGTGCGGAGCTGGCTGGCAGCTCCTTCCTGAGATGTGCTCTGCAAGGTGAAAGTGCTTTGTACAGGCAGAGCACAGCTCGCGATTCCGTGCGCTAGAGAGCTGTGGAACCACGGCATGGGTTGGATCGGAAGGGACCTTAAAGGTCACCTAGTTACAGCACCCCCGCCGTGGGCAGGGACACCTTCATTACACCAGGTTGCTCAAAGCCCCGTCCAGCCTGGTGTTGGACACTTGTAGGGATGGGACAGCTCCAGATGCTCTAGGCAACTTGTGCCAGTGCTTCCCAACCTCAAAATAAAGAACTTCTTAAGCTTTCCAATCTAAACCTGCCCTTTTTGGGTTGTAAGGTCTCCCCAGAGCATTCTTCAGGCTGAGCACCCCCAGCTCTCTCAGCATGTACTCACAGGAGAGGTTCTTCAGCCCTCTGATCATCTTAACGGCCCTGCTCTGGACTCACTCCAGCGCATCAGCTTGTTTGGGTTTTTTTTGTTGTTTTTTTTTGTTTGTTTGTTTGTTTGTTTGTTTGTTTGCTCTGGAGACCCCAGACCTGGACACAGCACTCTGGGTGGGTTCTCACGAGAGCAGATTTCATTGTGATTGCATTTATGCAGTGGTAGTGGCTCCTTCTGCACACATACACGCACACTGATGAGAAAAGGAAGACAAAGCCTGTACCTGCTCTGGACCTCAGGGTGCAGGACTACTTTTTAAAGTAACCTTCTTTACCTGGGGTAAACATAGGACTTCAAGAAGCAGTAAGTGTGTCAGAGAAGTAGTGCAAAGAGCAGCTGTTTAAGAGTGGTTGTTTCATACATGGTGCATGCCATTTTATTATTCACGGTAACCTGTGTCTTTCTTCCACTACCTGGTCTCCTTCTAGGTAGTCAAGCCACATACTCCATTAATAAAGTTCCCAGACAGAAAAAGTGGTCCCAGGCCTAAAAGTAAGTATTTTGGGTATGGATAGAGCTTGTGCCACATTTCTTTACTGTTTTGTTTAAGAACCAGGACCCAATTTCTCTCTTCCAACTATACAGCTGAACTGAGTTGGAGTGAGGTTTTTGAAACATGCTTGGTTTAGTTTGAAGGAAGCTCTTGAATGTTCTTCACAACTTCTTTTGTGTGCAACTGTGTGCAGACAAATAATGCATGCACATCTTTATTTTTTTCTCAAGAAAAGATTCACAAGGATTTCCAGTGTTTGTTTTCTACTTTATATGAAGTCACATTTTCCCAAATATTAATTACTAAAATTGCCACGCCCAAGTCAGTTTGAAGCAGCTTTAGCTATTCAGTTATATTTGCATAAATTATGCTGCATTTTCCTCATTTTTTCTTAGTTGAAACATGTGATATATTTTCTGCTGTATTTTCAAAACACGATTATAGCTGGGAGATTTAGCCCTCTACATTTTAAGAAGTATTTTCTTCTGTTACTAACTAAAGGTGAGAATTATTTCATTGCAATCTTTGACATTAACTTTTATACCTATGTTGATATTCATGGTACTCCCAATACTATTGTATTAAAACAATTCAAGCAATATGTTGATTTAGAAGTCCTTTGGGGTCAAAAAGGACTGAAAGAAAAGTAGCAGTTGTCTTCAAAAGCTCTGTTACGTTATTCTCACTTCTTTTGGTATTACACTGTGCCTAGCTATTTGTCACAGCATTATCAAGCCCACAGTTTAGCTTTAACTTTAGTTTAACATTTGAAAGCCTCCACAGCTTATATAAATGCCTCTTCTGACTTGCCTGTGAACTCTTCAGGAACTATTTTCTGCAATAACTTTCTGTAACAATTATGTACATTTTTTATGTCATGCCAGTGAATTACTTTCTCAAAAGCTTGAAAATGTGTTTCTGACCTCTTGTTTATCTCTGTGTCAGAAGATTCTTGTGACTGTGTCTTTTAGTTATGTTAGACTTTTCTACCTTCATCAGAATCTGTCATCTTGTTAGTAAACTGCAACTACTTTGACTTGCTTGAATGCTGTAGCAAAATCTGCATTTAATTGTACCAGATTGTTGCTCCTACATAGCTAAATGGCTCTTCAGAGCAACTAGGGATGTGAAAGGCCAGCCAGATTCTGGTGGGCCTATTACTACTGCAACATTATGGTCTCAAATAGGGAAGGGAGAGATGTAATACAGACTGTAATAGAACTAAAGCAGCAACAGTAAAATTTCTGATTACTGCACTTCTGATGTTTTTAATTTGCTAATGAGTCTACTCCAACTGCACTTCAGACTGAAAGTTACAGTAGAGGAAAATCCTTGACAAATCTCTTTTGTGGTAGGTGAAACAAACTTGGAGAAACTGATTTTTTTTTTTTTTTTTAATATAAGGTGTATTATTTCTTGAAACAAAAATACCTTGCCCCCTGTTCACAATAAATATGCTGCTTCTAATGGGCTCACTTCTGCCTTGCTCTGTTTTGGATCTTCCATTATTTCTGAGCCACTTTGGGACTTTCAGACCCAGTCTTATGACCGACAGCTTCTTAATATGCCTCTCAATGGTAGCTTTGTCACAGTGCTGCAGGTGTTTGATTGTTGGTCCCAACCCTGCAACTGCATCAGACTCATGAAGGCTAAAACTGGCTCCCTCTCCTTTATGGTCATTGGTCTTGCTGGAGCCAGGAAGGACAAAGGCAGGCAAAATTGTGGTGTTGTGGCTGCTCACATGCTTTTGTACATGCAGTTTTTATGTTGCTTATTTTATAGTTATATAGAGCTTCTGTCTAATTGTTAGATGTTGCACTTGTCTTGCTCATTTTTCTGGAGCACTGGGAAGGACTTCGGTGGAAGCATTCTGCTTTGTCAGGTGTTTTACCCTTACATATCACAGAATCACTAGGTTGGAAGAGACCTTCAAGATCCTTGAGTCCAGCTCATGCCCTAACACTTCAGCTAAACCATGGCACCGAGTGCCACATCCAATCTTTTTTTAAGCACATCCACATTTTCTCCAGGCTAAACAACCCCAGCTCCCTCAGCCATTCCTCACAGGGTTTGTGATCCAAGTCCCTCACCAGCCTCGTTGCCTCCTCTGGATGTACTCAAACGTCTCAACGTCCTTCCCAAACTGAGGGACCCAGAACTGGACACAGCACTCAAGGTGTGCTCTCACCAGTGCCAAATACAGGGGAAGGGTGACCTCCCTGCTCCTGCTGGCCACACTATTCCTGACACTGGTTGGCCTTCTTGGCCACCAGTGCGCACTGCTGGCTTATGCTCAGTTGTATGTCAACCAGTACAACCAGTACCCCCATGTCTCTTTCTGCCTGGGGACTGTCCAGCCACACTGTCCCCAGCCTATAGCAGTGCAGGGAGTTATTGTGGCCAAAACACAGGGCTTGGCACTTGGATTTATTAAACTTCATCCTGTTAGTCTCTGCTCCTCCATTCAACCATTCCAGGTCTCTCTGCAGAGCTCTCCTACATTCCAATGGATTGACACACACCCCCCACCTTAGAGTCATCTGCAAATTTACGAGTGAATACCTTCATCCATATCATCAATAAAGATATTAAACAGAACTGGTCCCAGTACAGAGCCCTGAGGGACACCACTGGTGCCTGGCCCCAGCTGGATGCAGCACTGCTCACCAGCACTCTCTGGCCCGGCCATGCAGCCAGTTCTGAACCCAGCACTGAGTGCTCCTGTCCCAGCCGTGGGCTGCAGCTTTTCCAGCAGTGTGCTGTGGGAGACAGTGCCAAAGGCCTTGCTGGAGTCCAGGTACACAACATCCACAGCCCTTCCTGCACCCACCAGGCCGGTCACCTGGTCATAAAAGGAGACCAGGTTGGTCAAACATGACCTACCCCTCCTAAACCCCTGCTGGCTGTGTCTGATACCCTGGCCAACCTGTAAGTTCTGGGTGATACGACACAATAGAAACTGTTCCATAACCTTACCTGCTAGACTCTGGCTAATTACCAGGATTCTCCTTCCCACCTGGTTTGTGAATGGGTGTCATATTGGCCACCTTCCAGTCCTCTAGAACCTCACCAGTGAGTATAGTCTGTTATCTTTCTACATAATTGTCCACACACAAACATTTACATGACTTTATGCTTTTTCTCCAAGTACAGCTTGCCAGTGAAAAAGCCATTGTTGGGTTGTGTGCTGATACATTATTTGTTTCCACATTAGTGTTTCTGCCATTCGAACTTCTGTCAGAATTTTTAGATTCTGCTCTTGATATTTGGCACTTGATAATTTGACAACAATAAAAGCAGGTTGTAAGAAGTAGAGTGATTTAATTCTTTTAGGTATTTGTTATAATGAATAAAATTTTCAAGCAATGGTAGATTTTATTGGCTGCTTATTAATTTTACAGTCTAGTAATATTTCTGTAAATGGTTTTGAAATCTGGGTTTCAGTGCAGGAGTCTCTACAAGCAAGTATGCCATCTCTCCATGCTTCAAAAGCACAGGAATCTGTAGGAGGCATATCACCGGCGTTTCAAAATATTTCACGTGTTAGTAGAGTACAAGGCACACCAGACACTTCTGAATTAACAAGAACTTTACCTCAGAAATACAGAAGGAGACAAATGTCAGATGAAGAGATTGAATATATTCAAGTAAGTTTTCTTCTTTAGCTTATTTCTACATCTTCTGGTATGATAT